TCAGAGTACTCCACCTCTCAGCCAATAGTAGCATCAGAGTACTCCACATCTCGGCCAATAGTAGCATCAGAGTACTCCACCTCTCGGCCAATAGCAATTCTAGTATTCGTCTCACCACAAGAATTAAGAAACTTCTACCCACCGTTCTATACTATATTAAACCGTTCTACGTTCTAAATTAAAGTCGTTCTACCCACCATTCTACCAAATAGAGACCTTTTCCTCCACCAAGTATCACTAGTGATACTTGGCGGCAGAAAGATGGTGCATCTACTCATCTTTCTGCCTTTAATCAACGTTCAACAGCTCCAATTTTTTCAAAAACTTTTTCTCCATATTTTCTAGACTCAACTCCATAGATTGCAAACTCCATTTTGGCAAATAAACCTCTTATTCCCAAGATTCGGGCTAGAAGAGAAAGTCCCATGTGGTCTAATGGTTAGGATTCCTGGCTTTCACCCAGGCGGCCCGGAAGCTGAATTTCCCGCCTTGGGAAATTCAGCTTCTATGCTGTAATGGTGAGCACTCTGGATTTTGAATCAACGATCCGAGCTCAAACCTCGGTGGAACCTTTCACTTTTGTGGCCGCGGTAGCTTAGTGGTCATGGTTTCGGATTCGTGGCCGACGTTTTTCGTTCAGTCGCGGGTTCGATCCTTGGCTGCCAAAGACCTTCTGTGTAGCCGGGACTGATGCCCGTTAAATCTGTCGGGGGCCAAAATCCTCCCATTGATGTGGTAAGGAAGTTAGGAGAGGGGTTGTCAGTCAGGTGTCGTCCTCGTTACTTGACCGTGGTTCAAAATTACGAGGGCCGTCGCCAATAGTCCTCGTGTTGCTTCTAGTGCGACGTTAATAAGAACTAAACTAATCGGGCTAGAAGAGCGCTCCGCTCTCTAGGCGTCCGTCGATAATCAACGTCACAGCTGGACATTCGAGACTGGTTTTCATCTTCCTGTTGCTGAAATTTGTCTTGATTCCATTTATGCTAAATTTATTATAAATTCTTTTTGTTAATAAAATCTCCAGTTCAGATTAAATCTTTATTTAGACTTGCGAGTATTTCCTACGTGACAATATTTAGACACGCTTCTTATTTTAAATTCCTACTATTAGTTCTCATTCTCTCTCTATATATCTTGTTCACATTTTCAATCGTTTATAAATTACTTTTTATTCATCCATTCAAGTTCAAATACATTTTTTAAAACTTGTAGCGGATGACACTTGATGTTAATACAGTTTTTACAAATATTAATTCATTTAATTAAGTTTAATTGGTGAAAATGCAGTTTAGCTCAAACACTTGGCGTGATGTC